AAAGTTTTAAAAATTAAAAAAACTATTAAATGTGGTCGTACATTTTAGGGTCAATCTGTCCGTCGAGCACACCTACCAACTTTTATAAGGGAGTCCCCCCAGGGGGGCTATAAACATCAGATGTAGCATGATTCGTATCCTGTATAGCATAGTATAACCACGAGATGTGAATTAAATTCAGATCTGAGTGTTTGAACGTCGTTGAATAAAGAGCGAAAGAAAGAATACAGTCTCTTTACACCTTGCAAACTTCCACAGCAGTGAATTATCACAAAGAATTTTCACGAACTTGTCAGTAAATCGGCAGAGATGATTGGCTTACATTGGTTGCTGAGAATTTTCGGCGGTCGTTCGTACTTAAGTCATATGTTCTGCCGATCGCTTCCGAGGGCTTCCTGTGTTTTCCGAAGGGATACTGATTGCATTCTGACGTCATTTTGACGTCATTCTATTGTTAAACAAAATTTTACTTACTCATTTGCATTCGACGCAATAGCATAGTGTCTACTACTGTAGTAGGCACACAAAAATCTCTGCCACTTTTTAAAAATATTTCTTTTCTTATAGGTAGAGAAATGAAGCTGTGTTCGTCCCAATCCCCACGGAAAAAAGACAGCGCGTGGTCCTGGTTAGTTTGTTTTTCGGGGTCGCTTGCCTTGGCTTTAATCTTTGCTTTTACACAGTGTTTTGCAATTATTATGCCTGTTTTCATGAAAATGTTCAAGGAATCCAAGTCAAAAACTGGTAAAGTATTCGAAATCACTAACTATTGTAGTAGTATTAGCGGGGGAGTTGGGACCCCGTTTTTTGTGTGATTAGTGGTGAAAATCTGTGGGCCCTCATGAATATTTGTGGGCTAATATATTCAATATTTTTGTGGGCTGTCTTCTTTGGCAATTTATGTGGTGTGCATCCCCTGATTGAGTGCCCTGCACTCCCCACCCCCCAACCTCTAAAGAAAATCCAAGATTCGCCCCTACAGAAATGATCAAGTTAAAAAAAAACAGGCTCTTGTTTATTCATGCCCTTTCTATTGTCCCCTATAATGTCGGATGTATCTTATTTCATTATTTTTCTGTATCCATCTCTCCCAGAAGTCCATCAGTAATTACTCTCTTTCATATCCACCCCCTTCGCTCATACCCGATTATTGGATGATTCAAACCTTGGCCCGGGTTGTTGTGATGCACATGACCAACCTACGGTTTTCTAGCCTTAGGTAATTGATGAATTCAATKATTTTATCTTTTTAAGCTTGGGCTGGATCAATCCCGATGGGACTAACGTTCTTCGCCATGCCATTTTCAACCATGTTTGTCAACCGTACCAATTTCCGTGTTGGTGCAGTTGTGGGTGGACTCATGAGCTGCACCAGTCTAGTGATTACATCTTTCACCCAAAACCTCCTTCAGATCTTCTTCTCCTACAGTATTTTRTACGGTCTTGGGACATCGTTGATTTTTACTTCCTCTATTGTGGCTGTGACAAACTACTTTGAAAAAAGACAGGCGATTGCAGTTGGACTCCTTACGGCCGGTCAAAACATCGGAACTTTATCATTAGGACCAATTACTCAGACTCTTCTTGATTTGTATGGTCTGAGATGGATGTATAGGATAATTGCAGCGTCATTTGTATTACCYATTGTACTAAYGGCCATAGCCAATGATCCGAACGTCGAGGGGCACGCTAGTCATCATGGGAATGACAGGGAGCCAGAAGAGACCAAACAGCAAGGTTTTACTTGCGCAAACATTATTAAAGTGTTTACAACACCGGCATACGTCATTGCGATTACGTCATTGACTCTTCAATCTCTTACTTGCTTTATATCTTACGTTCATTTGGTAAGTATATGTTTAGTTTTTGAGAGTGTTAACATCYGATTGAAAAAACGTTGTCAAGTTCCAAAAAGATGATTTAGGGTACTCTTAAAGTTGAATCATATTTGGCTAAACATACATTGCCTCCAAAGAAGAGGTCATTTCAGTACAGTCAATTCGCACATAAATCATCATATTAATTATTTGCCTTCTCATGATTCTCAWTTGACCTTTTTTTGAGTCAGACAACGTTTTGTCAAAAGGTGTACCGGTGTAATTGTTAGAGCGGATTTCGTATGAGTGGGACACCGTTACCGCACGGTTACCGCACAGTTACCCCACCTGGCCTGCACAATTTTGGTGCACTAGAATTTGGTTACAGTATGATTACTGATTACGGTCACAGTACAGTACCGTCCGTGTCCCACTCATACGAAATCCGCTCTATGCAATCAACAATGATATACCATCTAYACCAATATTGTCATATCATGCATCACGCATGCGCATTATCATCACGCGAGGAAACATCCCGATCTCAGACTTTTTCTGGATGAACGAGAGCAAGTTGTCGTCCATGTCGTCGTGGAAGGAGTTCTTACTTCTGCTCTTTATCTCTTTGTGTACTCCAATGTCATGGAGGCCTATCTTACTGGAAAGTGAATCTCTTTATCTCGCCACGAAAGCAGAAGTTGTAAACTGGACAGTGCCATCATGTTGATGTTGCCTGCGTATTGCCATCGTGCACTGTTTCATGAAAACCAAAYATCCCGTTTCAMCTTATCATGGAAGCTAATGCTACTGGACAGAGATACCAGTTTGGCGAGTCATATAAAGCACAGAAAAGGCTTAACCGAGATATGTGAAAGAGGTGTTTTTAGTAGCTGATGAATTTCTTCCCAGTCACTATTTTTTCATCATCATTGTCACCATTATCATCAGCATTATTGTCATCTTTACCCCCTTAATCATCGACGCCTTTTCTGTCACCTTTTTCATTGTAGTATCCTTACTTTCTAGATTAGCTACTGTATCGAGGTTAACATCGAAGTACAGAGAGCATCGCGGCTGTTCATTGCTATTGGTGTGTCATCAATGGTCTCCTGTGTGGTTTGTGGACGTATCTTGGACATTAAAACAGTCAACCCATTCCATGTCAGCCAAGCTGGTGCTTTATCAATGGGACTGAGYATGCTTCTACTTCAACTTGCTACCGARTACTATCACTTCATCATATACTCGGTGTTYCTTGGTCTTGGTCTTGCTACTTTCTATACAACAGTTATTGTGCTTTTGTTGAAGACCGTTGACATCAGACTCAGTTTAATTGCTTTGTCTCTTGGCCAGACCGTTACCTCGATAGGAAATACGATAGGACCGCCATTAATAGGTATGATGACATTATGAACTATGCTCCTYATTAGCCTAACCTTTTGTTGGGCGCCTCTTTGGGTGACAGGGAACCCGACAAAAGCTGGTGTAGGTTGGAAAGGAGACTAATTAATATGAACTAGATGATAAGCGCATGCATGGGCAAAGCCGTCAAACTTTATGGCCATAAAATGTAACGAGTAAACGACGGACGTGGGCTACAAGCCTGCTTGGTCATCCTTATATTTGAGATTCATGCAATTAAATTCTTCAGAGTAACCACACTCAACAACAACAGCAACAACAACAACAACGATACTTTATTTACACATAATGGTCTCCCGCTCATATTTCATATATTACCTAAGTTATAACTATAAATAATTTATTGCTACCCGCAATTAGTTAAAACTATTCTTGGCGGGTGCAATAAAAAAATGTATAATAAATTAAAATATAATTTACAAAAATAAATAAAAGGATATATATAAGATAGGTAAAAACTAACAGAAATGATCTCTTTTCAGGATTTATAGCCGACGTCGAAGGCTCTTACAGACCTGCCTTCTTTACAGCAGGAGGAATAATGCTACTAGCATTCGTRACTCCCTTCTTACAGTATTGCTTTAAGCCATGGAGAAAACAGCCAATCGATCATCTGGCTGTTGAAGTCAATCATGACGTCACTAGTGACTTGACCAATGGCGTAGTATCCAATGACGTCAATAAGACAAATCAAAGACATGGTGGTGAACTAGAAGAGATTGTCTTGAAGAACATGAACAATGATTTACCTGAATCGCACATTAATGGATCTTGCATCCGCGACGGAGAATTAGTAGATGTGGACGAAAAYAAGMAGAATCACGAGGRTCATGRCAATATTGATACTAAAGACGCAAACGAGGTGCAAAAACCAGTTAAGAAAGATGAAGGAGAAACAATTGAAGGCAGTTTTGCTGACTCATCTTGCATAAATGAAGCTTTTGATGCAAAAGAAGACGAACAAACTGATTCAAACAATGAATTGCAACAAAACAAAACTTTAGAAGAGACCAAAGAGGACTTAAACACCAAGTTATAAATCAGTAGCTTGTGCTATTATAAGCCGTTTTCAGTCGAAAACTGAGACTATTGCTGCGTTGCAGCGAAAGATTTATAGATACCGTTTTTTRGGTGTTTCAGTGAGAAAGCTAAGATTTTACGCTCTAGCTCTCTCTCTTTAATAAACAATGGTCAGTGCCTCCATTTTGTGCACTGAACAACATGATTGCAGCTTTAGTCCTCACACTTTTCATAGCCTTTAAAAGATCTCCCTAAAAGCCGTTTTTATGTCTCCTTTGTAGAAACGGTACAACTTCTTTGTTTTTGAAAAGAAAGATAAAAGCGGCTACGATGGGCGTTATTTTAGCTGACATGAAAAATGCGAAAACTCGACGCTGACGAATACAATTAATGAATACAATGAAAAGTACACCTGCATCAAAGAACGAAAATTCACCATCTTTGATTTGAACCCGSAATCWGAACGCAATTCAACAAAAACAAAAGATACGATTTCTWAGGTTGTGATATGCACATGGGCCTTTGAATTAAATGCGCTCGTCAAGTCCCCGAAGTACTTTTATTATATAATTATCTATGAAATACCTATATATCTATATCGTAAAGTTGATATTTTCACTAGTGAAATAACATGTTTTCACTAGTTACAATAATACATTTGCGGTTTCTCTATATAGTGGAGGTAAGATAAAAGGTATTTTACGACATAATTTGCTTTCATATAAATAATGATGATGTTTATAATGATAAACAGAATATTACATGGTCGCTTTGAGATACGAATTGTATCTTCTCGTGTTGAAATTCTCTTTTCAACACTCTAAGATAAAATCCGTGTCTCCGCGCGCCTATGTAATATCCTTTATGTCAAGCATGAAATATCCACTATAAAAAAAAAAACAAAGCAAAAATTAATATAAATATGTTGGTAACTGGCATTTTTTTTGTGTGTTTTCTTACATCATATCTGTCTTGCGTTAATATTTATGTTATTTTTTAAAGACTATTTTAATTGTATTGTTTTTAATTATTCTTTACAAATGTAATAAATAAAAACTATATTCTAGAAAAATGACATCCGTTGTCGTTGTTTTCTTTTTGAAAATTTAATTTACCTACTATAATAGCGATTGATCATCCTTGCATTACTCTTTTCTTCTCAATTTTTACTTGGAATATTTTCCACACTTGTTAGATTAATTAAAAAAAAAAGGTAAAAAATTAAATGTAATTGAAAAATTTCAATTGATCTAACCACGCTATTTTCCCCCTTTTTTATGATTACTTCCATTTGTCTATTAGTTTATAACTATTATTTGTGAGGGAGGAAGTTCATTATCCAACAAGCATCAATACTTAGCGCAGGTGTTCATGGGAAGGCCCAGAATCATCAAACACGAACTACACTATCGTATCACAGAGATCATGGTCAGTTTTTTTTTTCGCCGTTTTTAATTCATCGTCGAGAAAAAATTCCGTATTAGAATTATCCTCGCCCTCTTTCTTTGTACATGCATTATATCAGTATTTGAACCAGCGTCCAGATTTTGCCGCCCTACTATCTGCTGCGCGTTGAGCCTTACATAAGATTTCTTTTGAGTTGAAAGTCTGCAATCGTTGTTCACAAGGTTGTTAGTTTTACAGTGATTAAAGAAGCCGGGGAAACGAATTTCACTACATTTCCATTAGAAAGGAAATTTATGAGATAGAATGAACCTGAAAATCGGAGCAATAGGAAAATCATCTTGATTATTCGCCGACACAATTTCGGTCATTATWCTGCATCACTCACTCGAAATCGAAGGAGTGAGTACTGAATGGAGTTAGGGAATAATACGTCAACCAATCACTAAAATAAAAAAACTTCTTTAAAATGAGAGAGAAMAGAGAATCACACACAATACAATCTGCGAGACAGGTTGATTTTCTAATTTGTGACAATAGTCCTTAAAAACCTTTTATTGTTAAAGTAGTTAGTATTTCAGGTCTAAATCCGGGGAAACGATGTTTAAAATCCGTAAAACATGCAAATTCTCTAACAGTATTATCTGCACGCATCGCGGAAAGTTTTSAGAAGGATCGGCCATGGATGCCAGCCGCAACGTCACCAATAATCACAAAGCGCAGAAATATGTGTTTCAACCTGTCGATTACACCATCAAGTCTGGTTTGTACTCATTTCTGGGTATTTTGGGATGCTACGCAGTMATTRCTAATGGGTTAATCTTATACCTCAAAAGAGCTCAAAGACTAAAAAGAAAAAAACAAAAGTCATCACGAGCCTTCAATCGATTCCACATCATAACGAGTTACGTGCAAAGCTTAGCCATGTCTGACTTCTTGTGTGGGGCCATCACTATTCCAGTTGCAATAGTTAACAACTTCATTGATTAYATSGACAGTGATAACAAATGCAAAGCCGCGAGGTACATCGGTTTTTTACTTCCAGTTGTAACTGTAAGCAATTTGATTGTGATAGGAGTTGAAAGGTATATGGCTGTTTTCCATCCACTAAAAGTTCCTTCCTCGAAACGTCTTCGCTGGACCATCATTGGTGCCTGGGCCGTTGGAGCGATGCTATCAGTCCTACCTTCGACGACGTTTAAGCTGAAAAGGGTCGACATCGATGAACATACTTACACTATRTTGTGCTGGTATGATAACACTGTTCTCCTGAACAAAATTCTATTTCTAGGATTCACTGCTTTGGCCTATGTCATTCCCAGCTTTGTACTTCTAGTGATGACTATAAGAATTACTCTTTTCTTAAAACAGAGGAGGAAAATTCTTCGTCCTCGAACATCTAATAACTGGCGATACTACGGAACGGACACTTTTGTTATYCTTATATTGTGTTTCGTCGTYCCATATTTGCTTTATATTGCGCATTCTGTTCTCGTCTTGATTCTTAAGTTTCAATTCGCCTTCGAAGTTGATCTCATTATTCGTCGAACAACTTCAATCATAGCCTACTCCRATTCAGCCATAAGTCCAACGGTTTTACTCTATACTATGAAAGACTTGCGTATAATGCTGAAAAAAATGCTTAAAAGCGGCGGTCGCAATATGAATACAAGAATGGACAACAGAATCGCCCATTTAGCATTAGCAACGTTCTTGACTATTGAACACAGAAATGACAACAAACGGTCTTCGTCAACTATGGAACAAAGTGTCTGACATTATATTTACCATTAGCTCGGAAATGGCATGAAAACGAGAATGAAGAGTGGTAATAAAAAATACATTTTTTTCATTACGCAAGCTTAACGTAGGGAGGGGTATGCTATATGCTATATTTTTTCGAGTTTTTCTACTGAGTCTCTTATTACAACACTTTTACACGTCAGAAAATGTTTAAACATCTTGAATTTTTAGTGGCTTCAAGAGCTCAGAGTCAAGTATCTTTGAGCTATAACGTTTTTATTGTAGAATTTTGAGCTCCAGAGTACCTCCATAAAAAGAAAACAATAACTTCAGTTATAACCTATTCGACCAACACAATGAATATTTTGCAATATCCTCGCAAAAAAGCGACTTTTTATCCATGAACTTAAGAGAAATTACATAGTAAAGGCGCGTACGTTGTGACATACTCACCACTGATGGAGCGCTAATGAGAAGAAGGGCCTGTTAACGAGTTTTGCTGTGTCAAAAAAACAAAAAACAAATTCGAATTAAAGACCCAGTGTGCACCATTATGCTTTGGGGGCCGCGAGGGCCTTGAGGCGGCCATTTTCAATTTACCAAAAGYCTATTAATTGTACTGTGCGTTTCAAATCTTTGACCATCTCACTTTTCTAAGCACTTTAAACGATAATATTAGAGTTTTAAACATCTAACATTCATTTTATGGTGATATTTGGATACTAGAAGTATTTTGGTGTAAATCATAACAATAACAGAGGCACGCAAAGCATAATGCAAACTGGGTCTTGAATTTTACATTGAATAGAATACAGGAACATTTCCTCGAAAACCGTGAATTGTGAATCAAAAAATGTTGCCTCATAATTGGGTGCGCAATTTAATAGACATCCGCTATTTTTTCAAAGATGTAAAAACGTAGCGTCAGTCGTTTAATKCAATAATAATACATTTAGTATTTTGAATAAAAAAACATTTATTTGACTTTGAGTACATTATCCTACTAAATACACAATACACAAGACGAATTGATCGTCATATATCTCTATTTTAGACAATATATACATTGAAAGTTCTTTTAGTTTCTTTTCGCTTTAGTGCTTTCAGCTAGACGGATGATACACACGTACAACACGCAAGTCAGTTGTWGCTTGCGTTTTTCTCGGGRAGTCGTACGTTCAAAGCTTCTGTGGAAATTGTTGACTTGCATTTACAGCTACCATGTGGGATGAAAATACAGAGTATCCATCATTATTCTACTTTGCTCGTCRCCCAACATGGCGGCGACAGATTTGTAATTTAATAACCTGGGAATAGTGCTATACAAAAGTTTTTTTATGAACGGGGCCGTACCAGAAAATCCAGCTCAAAATTCTAAATTACTTCTAGATAAGACTGTGTAGTGCTACCCAAAGTCAGTCTTTTATAGCTGAGGAATGTGGGATATGCTCAGGGAACACTTATGAGCATGCTCAATAGGTAAATACGTTTAGAGAGTCTTCTTCAGGGTTATGACATCATAAACATAATTAGTTACCAAAGCGTGTGAAAACCAACAGAAATGTAGTTCTAGTAGTTTTTAAAAATTTGTGTGTAGCAGAGGAAGAAAAACCTATTCCTAACCAGATAAAATCTTCTCCCGTTGAATATCGTCCCAGCAAGACAATAATTACTGAAAGAAAGCAGATGGACCCGCCATGTCAACCAATCATTAATACCAAGGCATTTCCTCGTAGACGCGTAATAATAACCAATCAGATTTGTGCTAAGAAATCTCCTAAACCCATTAGCTAACGATCTGTAATGAATTATCTACTCGTAGACCCGTGCATTGACGATTTGTGCTACAGCAATTATGTCTAAACCCTCCATATTAACAAATGATTTGTACTGTCATCTCTGCCTGCAGATTCACTCGTAGAACTTGTCTTAAAGTCCTCATAACCATCGCCACCGCTTATTATTAAAATGTCCCTAGCAATATTGTTCCCTGCGGGTCCTCCTGGAGTAAGTGGATGCCCYGAGTTCGGAGCCGAATTATTTAATGGAGTGGTAGGCTCCTTGTCACTGGTTCCGTCTTGAGCGCCCTCTTTAGGGACTTCKACGGCCGTAAGAAACCTTACGTGACCTGTATGTCCGTGATACGAAGCTGTCGCCGAGGGACTATTCCGTAAGGATGACGTTGAAGCTGTTATAATAGGTAACGGTAACGTGAGGACGACGCCAGCACTGGTTCCTATCCACAGCAGATCTTTACACGTAAGTAACGACGTAACGCGTAGACACGCCGCCTTGTGTTGACGAATGATTGCATCGGATCCTAAACAATAACAAATGCATGAGTTTTACGCTTTACGCCGCAAATAAGCTAGMGTTTACTTAACGAAGCTAAGCAGAGAAGGCGGTACCTTTGAAATTGTGGAAAAYAGAATCAACCATACTGACCTGCTAACATTTTATGTACAGGAGGAGCGACATCAACGTCGGCCAGACACTCGTATCTGGTTGCGTGGAAAAGTCTTATAACAGCACTACTTTGTAACGATAACCAGACACCCATTCCTGTACTAACCATTCGATAAACCGACCGGTCTTTATCAAGACTACAGTTAAATTGGGTCTGTTGGATCAAACAAAACACACCGTCAATCAACTTAAACCGACCATACTTACGATTATAGCGAGCGGTCGTTTTAAWGAGTTCTGTCTTCCATTACATAGACAACATATGGATAGATAGATAGCTAATAATAATAAGATAATAATATGGCATCCAAAAAGGCTGAATTGCGTGATATTTACAAGAATAAATAGTTATAAAATGTGGAATTTTAAAACGAATCAGTCTACATTGTAGTACTTTACTATAACTAATTATACTACAAGGATAATACATTATTGATTTGACCACGTTACTATGACGTTTYGTTTCTAGTAAAACAAACTGAAACGCTTTTAACTGACTATTAACTAGGGAAACCTTTTAATGTCCTAAAGGTTATAACTGTGTGTTTGAATACAACCAAGCGTACCTCTATCTTCAGTGTTGTRGTGTTATAAATGATGGCATTACACTGACATCCACACCACAGTCTACCATGTACAGCGGTCATACACGATACGGGTGCTGAAGCACCGACTTGAAGCGTGATTGGTGCACCAACCTCCCAGGCGGAGCCTGTGTTAACAAAACAAACAAACAATGAAAAGAACGAAAGAATAATACAAAACAAATAAAAAGGCGAACAAATAAAGGAAGGAAATAAAGAAATAATCAATAAATCAACAGACGAAATAACGAACACACAAACAAATAACGAAATATTAAATAAACTGACGAAATAATAAAAAAAAACGAATTCAAGGATGCAACAGCAAAGAAACTAACGGAAGAACATAATAAAGAGCGAATGATACAGTTAGATTAAAGAACAACAGCCAAACAAACGAAAGTCAAAGAAAAACAAAACAAAAACAAAAAAACAAATCGACCCAACTCCCAAAAAAAAAATCGAATAAGAAAACAAATATAATGACACAATATAACCGAATACACTGGAAAAAATCGCGCGCTTTAAAGGTTGTAAATTTGATGTAAATACGATGTAAGTGTCCAAAATTCTGTAAATTTAATGGAAATCATTTACATCAAATTTAAAGAATTTTGGAAACTTACATCATATTTACATGAAATTTACAACCTTTAAAGCGCGCGATTTTTTCCAGTGATAGTAAACAAGTTATCAATAAATTGTGTTTTTTCACATACCTGGTTGTCGTCTGTAGATACAAAGATCTCCATTTCCTAGCGACACAAATACCTGGTTGTCCACATACCTTAACAAAGACAATCTATAAGAACTTTGAACTATAAAAAGGCTTTGGTTTGGATGAACGAATGGAAGAATGAAAAGTCTTCTTCACAGCGCCATCTTGAAAGGTAGCCGTGCCTTTGCATCGTAGCAACGACCGTTGAGCGTGCAATGAAACCTTTCTTCACACCCACAGACAATTATTCACAGGTATCTATCATTGCACGCTCAACGGTTGTCTCGTTTCTATGTAAAGAGACGACTACCTTTCAAGATGGCACACCTAACCGTGAAGGAGACTATTGCGTGAACATTTCACACTTACAATACACATTGTACAGATGCCTGGTGTTGTATTTTCATTTTATTTTTCTTCTGGTGAGCATCGTTTACTGGATACACAAATATGCTGCAAAACATAAATCAGTTAGTTATACAAACTGTGATCGTTATAGCATTGGTTKTGTGAATAGATCCCTACCTTCCATCTTCAGTRCCAAGCCATACCGTCGAACCCTCTTCAGTATCGTATGGTACAATATCGCTTAAACTTAACTTGTCTTCTGCACTTGTTGCCGAGCCGGTTGTCAATGCACTATCTCTTCTCTTAATATGTCTTTGATGTGCTTTGTTTTTATTCTCTTCATCTTCGCTTTCTCCAATTTCCGAATCGTCATCATTACTACTATCCATTTCACCATCAATTGTCCCTAGACTACTCCCCTCGGGACTTAATCGACCATCAAATATTGGGGAATTKCGTCCAAATTTACTATCGACGAACGCATCGTTATTGTCCTCGTCGTCTGAGCTGCTRTCAAACGCCATAATCGTCTGCGCATTTCGGTCGTCGTCGCTCGAGTAGCCTTGCGAGAGTTTCTGTGATGAAGACACYTTGTATGAYGTATCACTATTGTTACCAAGGGAACGAGTTTCGCTTTTAGCGTCGTGGTCTGTACTTTCCAGTCCAACTAACTTATTTCCAGGTACTGGAGATATACACAGGATTCGTGACGAACAAACAGACAGCGAGGCAACGGGCTGTATGGATAGACAGACAGTAGTGTAAGCGACAATTGATGTGCTATGTGTACCTTGAAGGAAGGTCGTTTTTCTTTTATAATCGCTTTTCATTCTTATCGAAAACATGGCGGTGTTTGCTAGCCGCCATCTTGGATTTATAACTATGTTTTTGAGTTTTACTCGCACAAACTATGTCTTGAAAACTACCACAAATCATGCTAGAGACGACTCAATTTTCTTATCATACCACAAATCATGTCTCTGTATAATACTATAATAATCCTATGGTTGGTTAGTGCTAATGAGCACTGGTGAAAATGGGAAGGACGCAGCTCGACGAGCTCTCAAGTTGAACTGCTATATCACATATTAACATCCTMGAAGATTACGTCATATTATAAGCTTTGTGCTGTATCGAAATGTTGGCTACAAACTCAAGATAATGATCTGCTTCTCGGCCACAAGAAGAGGCTGCTTCGAGCGAGTGCTGCCCAATCACGACACCAACACGTCACYATCTTGCACGATCGTACAGACTCGGTACTATACTATGTGMCAAATTTGCTCCCCACCCTCCTCCCCCTGGTAAGTATAAGTACTAATGACCCTGTGTTGGGTGTCACCATGGTAGTAGTTACTATATAGTGTCTGCCTAGACTCCAAGGAACATCCCTCCTTAGTGAGGCAACTTCGAGGCAGCCACGCCCAAACACATCACTACCGGTGAGTTAAACTAAATAGGACTACTTGAAAAAATCCGCTTACCTGAATCTGCTCTCCCATCGATAGAATRCAAACTTGTCCAACATAACCATCACTATTACAAACCCAAACATCGCCYGATCCACAGTGGTTACCCCTGTCCAACATATGGGGTACTTGACTTGGTGATGAACACGTGAACTAAATATACAACATATATTATGAATAAATGTCCGTATAATACATAAACACATCTTGGAGGAAACTGCAAAATTACCCGGCGGAGTAATATATTTATCGTAAAAGTTCACTGGGAATTTTTCAAAAGACCATCTGAATTTAATTTTTGCTGTTATTATTGATAATTATCTTATAAAGATCTCTAGACTTTGGAGGCACAAAAACGTTGTAGGGACCCTAAAGCATCTCTGGCGTCCCCTCCCCGGGTATAATTTTTGCGGTACATTCGCAATGGATCACAATCGTTACCTGCATTCCGCTTCGTGTCTTGGTAATAGGTATTGGATATTGAAACTCCGGTGGGAAGGTATCCTTGGCGTAAGCTAGTTAAACAAAGCAAGATCTTAGAAGGATTTCTAAATATGTTAATTTTCTCCTTTTCGTCCCCTTAATAACCTAAATCATGAACCAATATAGTCAAAAACTTCAAGGATTTTAGACATTTAAGACAAGAAATTGTACAATAACAAAGAAGGGGAAGGTAGACGCCTTACCAAGTTTTTGTTTTGCATTCTCGAAGTACGCCTCCCACGTGTTTTTGATTTCGACGTCCAGAAACAAAAAGACAAAGTTTTCTAGTCCATCTCTGGAAGTAGAAGACACGATTAAATGGTAAGAATGATTATCAAAACTCATATAAACAACCAGAAATAATTGCACAAAGAACTTTTACTGCACAAAGAACTTTTACTGTACAACGATTGGCTATGTACTGCTAATTAACACTTTTTCAACTTCCGTAATTTTTGCGATTTTGAAAAATAGCAAAAAATACAYTGAAGAAATTAAAAACTATTTAGCATTGATCCAGAAAAATGTTTTACTTTCTACTTTATGTTTTGTTGTGGCTTGCTATTGCCTGAGTTTAAAGCTGTATATTACAGATTAGGTTAGGTCTAATCGTTACTAAGCCCTMCCCTGYACGTACTCTGTTTGTGCTTGCTATTGCCTGTGTTTAAAGATGATGCATATTACAGATTAGGGTAGGTCTAATTGTTACTAAGCCCTCCCCTGTACGTACTCTGTTTGTGCTTGTAGTTCTACTTTAGTGTTCAATGATGGATGCATTGGGATTTGTTTCTCAGCGATTTGACGGCTGACTTCGTTCATCATTTCGCGTATTGAAGAATCTAATGTCTGCAAATTAACGCGTTAATCAAGAGTAAATGACCGTTTT